TCTCGAATGAGGCATCCTCGCTCAGTGATGCCCTTTTATACACGATGCTGATGGTGGATATATAATGACAATGTCCGGTGGTAACAACTTGTATTTCTTCCGGACATACATCATTGCGCACATCGTGCAGAGGTCGGTGTATTATCAGCTAGCACAAGGCGTAGTAATATTTCGAAACCTGAGGAAGACGAAGACGTCGAAACGTTAGACGAAAATAAATATATTTATCAACCTCGTGCAAGCTTATCAAGAAAGAATACATATTGATTAGTCACACCGAGGTTTAGGGAAGGTCGGTTTCGAAATATTACTACGCCTTGTGCTAGCTGATAATACACCGACCTCTGCACGATTTGCGCAATGATGTATGTCCGGAAGAAATACAAGTTGTTACCACCGGACATTGTCATTACATATCCACCATCAGCATCGTGTATAAAAGGCATCACTGAGTGAAGATGCCTCATTCGAGAAGATGGCTCACTGAGGAGGACCTGACTCGGCACGAAGGCGAAACTGCATCGTCGAGACGAACAACAAGCATGGACCATCGACTCGGATCACCGGCTCTGAGGAAGACGAAGACGTGGAAACGTTAGTCGAAAATAAATATATTTATCAACCTCGTGCAAGCTTATCAAGAAAGAATACATATAGATAAGGGAATTCTGTTACACGTTAGCAGTGAAAGTCAAGGACACTGATTGCAGTGAGAACGGAGTAAGAAAGAGTAAACGAAAAACTTTCTGACACTATGTGAACCCAAAACGAAGCTATTAACTTCCGTTTTGTAACCAACGAGAAAAGAACACTTACGTCTCAATGTTCGTTGACACCGACAGCTGTGTGAAACGAGTTACTATACAGACTCCCACTGCTACGAAATCAGGAGGTGGTAATGTTGTCGCCTGAAAATATTAGGTAAGTGAGCAAAAGCACTTTTGAAGCCGCTGGTATACAGAGTATCACACATGCAGCTAGGATCACGAAGTAAAAGCCTTCCTTACATGACCTGAATTCAGACACGATACAGCTGATGAGCAAGAAATAGGTGCGTTTCACTCTATTTGGACGATGTCATACGCAACGATAAAGCGTATTACAAATTTGTTGTCAGAGACTTCCACGGCAGAATGGGAAAGGCCAAAAACGGCGAATACAGGATCGGAAAATTTGGATTAGTAGAAAGAAATGACAAAGAAAACTGTCTCACAGGACTTCCGTCTGCAGGACATTTCTTTCATGGAAACTCGATTTTCTAGAAGAAGAAAAGCCACCGCAGGAGGTGGAAGTCTTTCAACGGCACGACGCATACAGAGATTTATCATATGCTGACAAACAGAAGAATGTGGTGGCTATTTTGTAGATCGGTAATCCCATCATTCGGTACTGGGTGCGACCACCACCATCTTGGTGGTAGGATTTGATCCAGCCGTAGGCCGGAAAATAATTCATGTCATCGACCGCGAAGGAGAAGCCTTAATGTGGCTGAAATATTAAAGAACACCCAACCGAAGACGAGCTGCTCGTCAAGCACTTAGAAGTTGTGTCGAAATCGCTTCAGTTTCTCAAGCAAGGATATCAGTTCGCAACTCCATTGCCGCTAAGAAGTTTTTTGAAAAGAGAAGGAAACTGAAGCTTGACAATACTGCAACAAGCTTAACACGGCTAGTGCCAGTTGCACAAGAGCTTTACAGGAAGATCTACATCGGTACAGAAAAAAACTGTTAGGAGCAATACAAAAGGAACCAGTCAGGAAAAATACCGTCGGGACTTGTGCGAGCACAGTGTTCCAGTGACATCCTTGATTACGAGTCCATATGATTGCTATCGGAACTGCAGCACGAATATATAGCTTTTTCATCGATATCTCACCGGACCCATGCAAATGAGAAGAAGACCCATGCGATTGCTGTAAAATGAAGTAAATAAGAGATATGCTGGCTTTGGGCAGCTTGCGAAGACAGACCGTCCATGTATCCAGGTAAGAAAGTGAATTCAGATATTTTGCAGATTGTCTCGAGTCCGTCACCCACGAATGTCCGGATTCTATTGCGCGTTCGGCTGTTGGGAATGTTGTCTTCTTTATTAATTTCTTTTTAAGCGCTTTGTCAAGTTGGTTCTTCCTCAAATCCTCGCATAGCCCTTGCTTTAGGGTTTCCGGATCCTTATCACGGAGGCAGCGGCCACAATTTGTGAAGCAGGAAGTGCTTTTCTCAAACAGGTATAGGAAACCCTAACCACTCCGCTTTCCGTGTTTACGAAAGTCTTTATTGGGTCATCAGAGGAGAGTTATTAGAGAGAGAGTCGATGAAAGGTCCGACCGACCGAGACGTATTAATTATCAGTGTGCCAATGCAGTGACTGCAGGGAATGCAGAGTGGAGTCGTAAAGTGATGAAATAAACGATTGCTGCCCGCTATGCTTTCCTTCCCCAGTTCAGGAAAGCCTCTAGTGTGCCATCATAGGAGAGTTAGAAGAAAGACGGTTAATAAGAAGTCTGACCGAGACGTATTAATTATTAGTGTACCAATGCAGAGACTACAGGGAATATAGAATGAGGTCGTAAAGTGCTGAAATCGACGATTTTTCTTATTTTTTTCAGGACTATATCATCACATTTGCAGTAGGTAGTTGCGCGGTATTTTGCTACCTCATTAACACGCCTCTGAATAATTCTGTGAATGGTACTTGTTGGCCGGAAAACCCACCTCATTGTCTTCTTTAAGTCCGGCGTACTTCTCTTCAAACAAGAAGTATATTAGAAGTATACCAGAAACGTTAATAGTTGCAGCAAGAAACGCAGGAGCGTTATAGATATGGAGAGACCAACCGAATAGAAGGTGTACACCGTCTTCACCTAGTGGAGTGAATAATGCTTGGAGGCCTAAAATCGTTAAGCTATTCACAAGATAAATGACATGGTGAAGCTTGTTATTTTCTTTGTAAATGTTCAGTTTAGAAAGAAAACTGTAGAAAAACGTAGAAAAAATGAAGAAACTGTGTTTGGATACGATGAGATTCCGAAGTTGACACATTGGAGAACAATACCTGGCCCAATAACCAATCCTATAGAAATTCCAGCTGCCACGCAACCAATCGCCCTTGATCTGTCGGCAGGAGTCGACGCCATCGAAGCGTAGGCTCGCAAAAGGACTCCGTTACCTTTAACCACGATCTTAACTACTATTGTAGAGTAGAATCTGGTTCTCGCCAGACGTAGCTGCACACCACTACTGAGTCTATTTTATTAAGGGTTCAGCAAACTTGATCCGATTCCAATTAGTGCTCTCGATATGGCCATAGCATATCCATGGCTAGTAGGTAGCATCTTTATGAGAATATAGATCAGATTGCCAAGCAGCACAATGCTAAGCCCAAAGATCGTTGGTACGCGCACCTGAATAGCCGGAGACTTAGCTTGCTTAACGTATGTTAGGTATCAGCACGATTATGGTTTATAATCCTCATCACCTGTTTGATACGATTGCTCCAATAACCGAAAACCGGTGATGACACGCACTGGCCGAGACTGTACACCGCGACGATGTAGCCGAAAAATGATTCACTTACGGAAGGATCCAGCTCAAAAATTAAAAGATCCATATAATCCTTAACATTCCATCACGGTCTTACTTTTCACAATCAGTTGTTTAGCTTAAAATAATCCAAAAAATTGCTATTCACCAATATTATCGAAAAGAATCATATGAAGTAAAGAGCTAAAAGCAATGGGCCATGATAAAAATAGAACATAAATTACTTGAAGGTGGCGAGTTAAAAGTACGTTGATTAAGAAACGTTTGTCTATTAAATCCATTGTCTGTGGTCTTGTATGAAATACCGCCTTTTTTCTCTCTTAGCGCTTGGTGTACTCACTGAATTCAACTTACGCGCTTTAAATATGGCCAAAGAGATGAGGAAAATAGTCCGTACTGAAGTGATTGTATGAAGCAACATGAAGAGGCCACGTAGATTGATTCCCATGGTGTACTGTAATACATAATTATCTGAATACTTTAAAACAAGAATCGTTCAGTGAAGACAGGAATCCACTAATCATCCAAAAATTGTACGGATTTCCTGATCTAGATATATCAAAATATGCTGAGCGATTGGCGAAGTACGACGAGCAGTTTTGGCAGGCAGAGAGAAAGCGGGACTGTTCGTAGTCCTGGGACAAAAGTCAGCCATAGTAGTTCGACACAAGATAGAAGTCATCAGCAAACGACTTATTCAACCAATCATTCTAGAAAGGCATTTTTCACTGAATATAAAACATTCCGATTTTCTCAGTAGGGTATTTTTTACAAAATGCCATTGCTGTTTTATTGAAGCGAACTGACCGTCGTATGAGTGAACTCTTTTCAATATTGGATCTCTAAAACGCTAAAACGTGTGTTCGATTAAAAGCAATACATATATAATACCAATAGGCTTTAACCGCTTCTTACTGGATGAAAACATTTTTTTCAATTTATGGAAACGTGAATAATAAAAGTCTAATCGATTAGAGGACCGCTTTCTTAAGTGTCTTTCTTCTTCTTTTTACCCTTTGTTTTCAGAATTTTATGGTCGAACAATTCGTCATAAGATGTAAACTTATACATATATAGAAGCTTGCCAAGATATCAGCTCTTCGTTTTTAGTTTGAAGACTAACAGTAAAACAGGTACATTTTGAGAATCTCGTCCGAACGCCGTCCACCACTGGAGGTGACGTTAGCGACATCACCGACGCGCTGGGTGTGGCTCTTCCGCGGACTCATCGCGGTCCTGAAATGGTGACATTGTTTGTTCTGTGTCTGTTATGTAGAGCAGAAAGCAAAACTTGTAAAAGAATATTTTTCATCCATTAGGATAAACTTAATTAGGCAATAAATTTAAATCTTCAGAGAAAGCCTATTGAAACGACTAATCAATTTGCAAATGAAAAAGATATGATGGAACACAGAAATAGGTGAGTGAAGCACTGAACGATAACAAATATCTAAAGGCAACCACAGGAATGCTGAGAAATGAGCATAACGCGAAACTCAAGGTCACTTCTCAACTCAAGGTCGCGAAACTCACTTCGAACTCCCGATTGCCCTCACCGGGGTTCAAGTGCTAATTACTATACCAACCAAAGCCCTTGCTTTTCCTTTCCCTCAGCCACCAGTTTTTTAATCTGGAATCACCGTGTTTTAACTTTTATCTACTTTTTCACATCGTACCGTTCCAAGAGAAAGAGTAGGCAATGGGTAGGACATTGGCAGCGAGGAGCAATGGTAACTCTGCCACGGTGATGTGGCGGAAGGTTGTTAAATACTCAACTACTTACAAATAGAATCAAAACGTCCTAGTAGAAATGTACAACCAAAGATCGAGCTTTTTAATAAAAACTCGAAATGTCAAAAGAAAAATGAAAGAAAAGCAATAAAAACAGAAAGTTTGGCGGAGAATAGAGTTTGTGCGCCGTGAGCACGGCAATTAGTAACGAAGTGGTTTAAAATTGCTTGTTTAGCTGTGATTTTGAGAATCTGTGGTTGTTAAGCCACAATCAACTCCAGGCTTAGATGAACAGTGCGAATTTGGAATAAATTGGCGACAGCCTTCGTTAAAAGGCAGCACCGAGTGTGGAAACCTCATTCGAATAGTGCTCCATTCACTGGATTCGCCTCGATGCGACGAACACCCTCATCACAAAGACGACCAGGTGTTCATTATCAGTTCGGCTCAACGTGGCTCTGAACAAGGCGAAGGTGCTGAAACCTTAACCTTAGCCTGATAAATCTTTTTATCAACCTCGTGCTCGTAATCGACGAAAGTATTGTAAAAACTGGTTACTTTTTGCGCCGGTGAAATTTGCTCCTTCCTATCCGTTCTGTGCGTAATTTGTTGAAAAGGCATATAACTGCGCATAACTTATTTGAAAAGGAATATAGATCTTCATATTGGTGCGTGTAGCGCAGTGGTTAGAGGAGCCCTAGAATACACATAAGATCGATTCCGCGCCCCATACTCACCAAGTCTTCCACCCCTCCGGGATCTACAAATTGGTACCAAACCTATCTAGGAGGAAAGCAGCACTGTCTCTAAACATCGGTAGGCCTCATCAAGTCACTGTATAAGGATGTTTAATGAAGTTGAATGCATGGCACATCTCTCAGAGATTGATCAATGCCGAGAAATTTGTTTTACTTTTCTATTAAACAAAACGAAAGGATTCCTGGTTAGGCAGCAAAATAGCTCACACCGACGCTGTCCTTCTTTCCTGTCAGTCAATAACCGAGGTCTTTCTTTTGGACAATGATGTTGATTTTACTAAGAGCAATAGGACAGCGGGAGAAACAACTTAAAAACGGAAACATAGTCCGGAACCGTTACAGCTGGTGCTTTATTGAGTAGTAATGCAGAAGATTGATGCAGAAACCGAAGGAAAACATATTAACCTTCATGGGTGTAAGCCACCGGTGTCACACATTTTTGTTGAGGAATGCTTGCGATAGAGTGCGGAAAGCTTGGCGAGCACTGACAAACTAGAACTCGATTGAATTGTTTTAAATGGATTGTCTACCCTGCCTGAGCTGCAGCAGCTGCCTTTACAGGTGTGGTGGATGGATGTGAAGTCATCAATTAAGTCAATTTAGCGGTAAAGATTTATGATCAAATAAAAAAAGGTGAACGCTTTATGTTGCAGTCGTAGACATTCAATGCTTCTCTCAGAACGACTAGTATATAAACAAGTTTCATGAACTTCCATCAGTCAACTTTCGTTCTTTTTTCAACTTTAACTCATCAACTTTATTATTAACTCATCAGGATTTTTGCAGTCCTAGCTCTCCTGATTTTTATTGGTATTTCTAAATGTCAACTTTAATTACAACTGATTGCAGGGTCAACGTTTGCCACTTGTCTCATGAAAATTGATGGAAGTCAGAATTAGACAAGAATAAGAAGACAAAGAAGGAAGAGTATATGAGCAGAAATTAAGAGAAGACTAAGGACAACAATAGGAGAAAGATAGGAAAAAACAACAGCCAAAAAAGCATAAGAAAGAATTCGAAGGGGAAACACGAATTTTGCCATTCCATTACCGAATCCCTCCGAACGGTTTGCCGCCTTATCGTGGTTGGGATGTTCCTGTGTGTTGAGCTGAGACCGATGTACAGCGATGTACAGTTGTACAGCGAGGGCAGTGGAGAGCTGTCCATCGACCAGTAAGTATTTCCGAATCAAACGTCTAGTAACACGTTTTCTTCATAACAGAATGACGATCTTTGCCTTGCTGATAGGAACACTTGGAGTGGCTTTTCTGGTATGTTTTCCTTCAACGTCATCCATTTCTTATGTCAGGCTCTTGTAAAAATCTTTGAGAAAAAAAGACAGTTGTAGAAAATTGATTGAAAAAGAGGCTTTAACGTTTCAGGAACTATTCACAAGTGATTTTACATGGTTTGTTATCCACTGTTTCAAAAAATTTTGTCAAGTCATACTAGCTCAAGTTCGCATGCAGGTGTGCGAATGAATGCGAAATGCACTACAAAAAAAGTTCATGTTTCCAAAACAGCCACAAGTTCTTAGAAGGAATTTGATGTCTTTAAGAAAAAAAAATTTTTCACATGCGAGGATAGGATGAGAGGTCGAAGGCTGTATAGTGGTTAGAGATGTAGTGCAACACTCGTATGTTACCCAAGGTCGATGGTCAATGGTACAGCTGGCCATCCAAGCTGTCCATTCTTGTAGAATTGAGAAATTGGCCCAAAACTGGCCTTAGTAAAATAGCTGTACTTGTGTTATCGCAGAATTCCAGGAAGAGTCAATTTGTCAAACATTCAACGATATTCCTGAGTCTGACAATATCTTAGGTGCAGCCGAATCAAAGTATAAATCCGAAGGATTTTGTGGATGACATATCAGAGACAACGAAACAGAGTACCACAAAGGCTCAGCACAAGACGTGATGATAGGTCTCACAAACAGATAGATGAAAGACAATTATAACTGAGTGGATTTCACTCTAATAAGTCCTATTCGGCAAAATCAACCACAACAAGAATGGACATTGCAGTTGAGACATGTACAACTGTGTAATCTTCGAAACTTTTGTAGTGCTAGAACATACTTGAGTATAGCAAATGTTTGAAGTATTGAGTATCGTAACACCAAGTTCTACAGTTTAAATATTTGAAGCCGTTTCAGGAACCGTTAACTGAATGCATGAGAACTTGCCGACAAACATCATCCAATATCTTGAAAGGAGGCAAGGTTTTAGTTGAGGAACATTCAAGAATCGACAACGGTTAGACAGTGACTCTTCGGCATGACACTGAGGCGTGTTACTGTAGACGGCGATGACGTCGCCTGCGTAAGAACGAGAACGGCGAAGATTGATGGAGTAACGATGAAGGGCCCGTTGTGATTTATGACCTTCTGAAACCGTCTGGTAAACAAGAATCCGGGAGTAACTCCTTCCGCCGTCTGGTCGTTGAAATTCGGATGTGACATAGTTCAGAGACACACTTGCACTCTGATTTTTAACGCTCAGTTTTATTTCGAACCATTTATTAAGAATAAGAGAAGAAATTATTTATTTCTACGGTGGTACCAACATCACAAAAAGTGCTTGTCGCTTCGTTTGTGTTTTATTGGTAGAACTTATACGTCATGTTCTCTCATATTTTGACAAATCGTGTTTCTGGACTTAAATGTTCTATTACAATAGGAATGGACATTAGGATGGAAATAGGGAACTGTAAGAAGCAAAGAAGATATGGTATAATACGAAGATCATTTTTTGAATTGCCACTTTCTATGAGCTCAGCTTTAAGGTCCTTAGCATTGTTTAAAAATAATGACCAGAAGATTAAAAAGAAGGAGAAGGGGAAGGCGAAGGACCACGTTGCGCCTCGATGGCAAGCCAAGTCCTCAGTCAGCTGTTCACATTCTCTACTGCTTATCGGCACGTGGTTCATCATCCCCATGATCCTCCACCAATCAATAAATTTTAGATGAAGAAAGATTACAGCTTCGAAATTCTCTGAAATACTACCGACCAGAAAGCGTTTATTTAAAAGTGGTATGTGTAACTACTTTATAGCTACTGTTCAAAGCCACACTTCATGACCAGATTTGATTTTTGCTTTCATTATGGGAAAGGTCCCTCAAAAATAGAGAATCAGCTGTTTAATCGACTTTTTCCGTTATGCACGCCTTCCCTGTAGTACGATCTTAGTAAAGTGCTCATTTCTATCATTAAGAGCGAATTTTCAATCACGTCATCTTAACGTTTCTTACTACCTTCACGCCCAGTGGAAATGATGTTCATTCATTTAGTTCATTTTAATTTAAATGTATTTTTACAAATGTTACAAATTTTTTTAATGTTAAATGGAAATAAAATGTATTTTTTAAAGGAAGACTTTAATTATCGCCTTTCAGTTAAAGCATTTAGGGTTAAATTTCTACTTCTGTTTAGTAGTTCTACTATTTATCCCACTTCTCGTTCTAATTAGTTAGTAAAAAGTCATCTCTTTGTCTAAAATGGACCTATGGTTTCATTTTCACCAAAGAAAGCGGCACATCGGAAATTCTCATCAAATCCATCGCGAATACTTGCCAGAAATTATCGGCAAGCCGTCTGAGCAGTGATCGACAGCGCCTCACCGACTAATTCGCCCCCTTGCTCTAACCTTATCGGTGAACATCACCATCCTTTGTTGTCTTCCTAATTTCTGGAAACTGCCATGGCATAAGTTCGTATGCGAGAAAAAAGTACCAAAACACCTATTAATTGTGTGGCTATCAAATGCGCACCCATTTATATTATTTATATTTATATTATGCGCACCCATACTGAGCGTGTACTAGCTATTTTCACATCACTGGCTTTCATCGTCATACGTCGCAGTGTTTAATGGACCCCAGTGGATTAATTAGTTCTTTAACGGTCGCTCGTTTCTACTTGTTGACAGTTCGTCCTGGTTGCTGTCACTTTAGTTATTTGACTATTTGTTGACTGCTAGAATATAAACACATTGTTTTCCGTACTTTTTGGCTACTTAGTTCACTTATGGTGCAAAGGCGGGACAAATGATTCTTAATCTCAGGGCCCTTATTGCTGTGAATTTGAAACGTCCCAGGGCATGAGTGAGTTTCGGACTATTCGTTTCAATTCGATCACAGACTGTGAGAGCAAAACATGCATATTGAGTTAAATTTCTTCTCATTGCTTTTTTATATATAAGATAGGAGACAGATTCTATCAGATTCTAGACCGACAAGACTGTTTTCTTACTTTTCATCTCCACTTTTCTTCTTCAGCGACCTTACCGGTTGTTCCTTGTCGGCGTATTCGCCATAAGATGTCATTACTGCCTGAGTAGACTGTCAAGAATAACGATTTTTGAGTACGATAAAGATACTCAATATGTTTTTATGATATTAGTGTTTTAGTTGTCTTCGTGAGCCTCATAAATTTCATGTTCTCATAGCTGTTGAGAGTACTCCTATTTCTTACCGTCTGTGTTTCTGCTCCTTCCCATTTTTCATCTATTTCGCTAGTTTTTTCTTTTTCTGGATTGTTTTCAGAAAGTCGCTATTACAAATGACATTGCCTGTCAGTTGGTACCTTCTCGGTCAACCGCCTCTCCTCCTTTTTCTCGTGAAAGTACTCCATAATTTTAAAGTATCATAAGTGCAAAAACAGTAAAACAAATGTGTTAGAGATATTTGTCGAAGATTGCTACACGACATCTTCACACTATCCACATAGTTGTTAGAACGTGAAGCTCTGTACTGAGTTCATCACAAGTTTGAAAAGCATGAAATTGATGTCAAAGCCGTGACTCTGGGTGGTTGTTGGCTAATCAACGTTTTCACCGAAACCTACAACCTGGTCGAAAGCAGAACTAGACTTCGTCATATCACCAGGTGTCCGCGTTCATCCGCTCATAACCACAGTTCATTCGACAAAAGTAAGAGTGCTATGTATACCTCAATATGAAGAAAACCGACTAAAACTGAATAGTAACTAGTTTTCTCAGCATGCTTTAAAAGCCCTTATGAAGAACTTTTCATTTTTGAAAAGGGATTTTCTGCCTAGCTATCCATTTAACAAAGAAGGACTTTTTTAAGAACTCTGTAAGTGCAATACAAGAACCTGCCATGCACAATTTCATTGCTCTACTGAGGGCTTCTTAATACTATCTTTTCACAAGATGGCGTAGTTACCAATAATATAACGTTTACTTGGTCGTTCTTTCATCCGAACACTTATCCATTTGACATTCAAAGTGGGACATGAAGGTGGCTGAATTCATTGATGTGGCTTACTGATACTAGAAGCATATCATCTTTAGCCATATCGAATTGTTGTTCACGCCAGCAAAAGAGGCATCACAGCCAGACGCTGTCATTTTTTACTTCTACTGGAATTACAGATAGGTTGTTATGATCGACCAACGATGACTAAGGTGTAAGATTGTATTAGACAAGGCGCAATCGATTCACAGTTCTTGTTTTCACGAAATTTTTTCAAATAAGATGTTATTCATCGTCTGATGCCAGTTCCGTTGGCGACACTTCAACATTTCAAGGAAGAATATCCCTTACTACTGAAAATCAATTTCGTTGATTATTGGTAGGCTATCACACTTCTATGTTACACCTGACTTCGTCACGGCTAACGTTCTGAAGTACCATCTGCTTCAGATCCGCGTAATGTAATAAAGTTTCGTGTAGTATATATATGTAGTATATATTATAAATAAACAGCAAAGTCATATGTTTTCTTTACTAGAATCTTCTATCGTATACATTTTGTTCGCCTTGTTACCAGACTCCTCCACATTACTCATCATGTATGAGGTTTGGAGGAATTAATACATTACTTTCAGGCTATTTCCTGTTTTTCAAACCTGTTTAAAGTAGTCTTCATAAAAATCTTCAATGTAACGTTATGTTGATAAGTCGTTCCAGCACAACACAGGTCAGTGGCGTCTGTCTGGTGAAGAAGCAACGTCCAGTTCAGATCTCTCGTGGCCAAAGTAATCCCGAACTCATTTTTGTTGCTCTCCTATCTAAGGACCAACCAACTCAGCAAACCTACTTGCGCATAACTATTTTCTTGTCGACAGCTATAATTTGTGGAGTGTGTTAGTGTGAGTGAACACCTCTTCGCGTTTCCTGTGACAGAACATCTACTCACGCTTCCTTTAGTAATTCTCTACTTAGTAAACTCATCAACAACAATGCCGATAGAGCAGCTAGATTCGTGTCCTTCAACCTCTGTGGAGTCCATTCGCCTTTATTCTATGATGACCTAGCTATGAAAAAGTGCTAGCCGGATGCCTTCGTCAAGTATATGGTCACGTCTGTATGTTCTTCTAAGAAGCATCGCATCTTCTTCCTGGTATGAAACCCATCGAAACACTTTGAATTCTTATGTAGCTTATGTTTACAAGAGGTGTTAGCGCACTGTTGCCCAGCAGTTGCTAATAGTAAATAATCACTCGAATGGGATGTTTCTCCACTTTAATCCTCCATGGTTTTTTTTACAAACCACTACCGTTTTAAACGCAATCTTGGCAATTTTCTAGAATGTTCCACAAGGTCTACAAATACTGTGTACCTAATAACAAGAACATAACAAACGTGCTTTTTGAGGTTGGCAAGTGTGGTCTATGAAAGTTTTCCTTCTCTCCCATTTTTTCATTTCTTCTTGTTTCATTAGGTCCTACCTTGGTTTCTTTCTTCCGAAGGTTTTTTTCGTCTCTACCATTTCAATCCTTCCTTCACTTCTTCTGAATGACAATTTTAAAGGTGCTAATGATCTTCCGTGTCCTGCTCATTCAATTTTCAATCTAAAATAAAATTCGGTTTGCTTTCCTCCGGAAATAATTTCAGGCTGTCATCATCTTATTTCGACATCACTATTTCGATTAGTTTACGTGCTAAACCCATAGGCAGTTTTCCACTCATACCTTACAAAAGAATTTCCATGTGATCTCCTTTTCCTATCACTTTTCAATCTTCCATTCTTTGTACAATTTTAACTTCTACTTATAAGAAAAAGCGTAACTGGTTATGTATAGACAAACTGTCGACCATCTGAGCTATCCATTATTTTCGTACTTTTTTCCATTATTTGCGAAGAAAGCGGTGATCGGAATTAGTACGGTACCAGTAACGGGACTACCGATGTGTCAAGTAGGCACCATCTTCTGTTTGTCAAAATATGGTCGATCTCCGCATGAGCCATGCCCTTAGGAGAATCCCATGTCGAGCGGCGGCTTTCTTTCTCCAAGAAAAACAAGTTTCCATGGAAGAGACGTGCTGCTGACAGGAGTCTTGCGAGATGGTTCCCATTCTCATTTCTTTCTTCTAATCCAAAATTTCCGATTCTGTATTCGCTCTCGTCGGCCTTTCCTATTCTGGCGTTGAAGTCTCCAACAACAAATTTATGATATGCTTTCTCACTGCGAATGCGTTCCTCCAGCTGATAGTAGAACGCATGTAATTTGTACTCACCAGCTGCGTCGGTCGATGAGTAGCAGTTGATGATAGTGATCTTCTTCTGATGCGACAGCTGAAGACGAAGGATAGCTACGCAAGAGGAAAGGATCACGTATGAGTCGACGAGATGGACAATGGACGGGTGGACGACAAAGCCTACGCCACCGACATTTCGTGACGGGACCTTTTCTCCACGGATCACAAGAGTTTCGTTGTTTAGTTGGCGTATGTCGGTCTTCTTGATTTGTGCTTCTTGTAATGCGATCGCATGGAATTTAATTCGATCTGCGGCTACAAGAAGGGCGTCTGTGGGGAGTGTTCTGGCATTATACGTGCATAGTAAGAAGCAATCTCCATGGCGTGTCATGCGTGTGTTCGTCAGATCCGGTTCCAATGACGTCCTGCGTAACCCGAGATTTTCTGGCCTCTCACCGGTCGTCCCACCGCCTGACGTCATAGACGGGAGCACCCAGTGTGCGGGGTACTGAGAATGGCCTTTTGCTTGTCGTGGAACTTGGTCCTTCCTGGAGTCCTGACTTGCAAGGGGGTGTCCAGGTCTTCACCACGATGTGGATCAGAGGGAGGTGTGTTTTCGGCGACGAATCCTTCGCTTGGTCTTCCTACTAGATGATTCGGAGAGGATAAACAGAAATCAGAAACGAAAGTAGGAATGTAAAAGTAACCGACCGCTTAAGGACGTCATAGAAGCCGAATCCCCCAGAAACCTTCTGAACAACAACGGTTGGATAAATTTGTTAGCGCTGAGATTATATGGGATGTCCAACGCACAGTAGGAAGGCCATCTACTCAACTGTCAGAGTTCTTCACGAAGATCCTAGAGGAAAGATGTGTTGCTCAACGAGTTCCAAGAGCGAGCAGAAAGCAGAATCCACTGGGCTGCCCTTGCAGGTAAATGGGCAAATAAAGGTTTTACTGGCATCCGTTCGAGTTACGCGATGAATAACGAGGTGGTGACGCAGTTGATTTTTTCTGTCATTTCCAAGCGGTGCTTTTGGGAGGTAATCGATAGTTTCGACACCATTCGTGTTGTAAACATCTCTGAAATTTCATTCGTATGCTTCACACCTCGCCTCCTTGTGATCGTTGTGAGGAGAACCTAAACATGCATGCTCTTTTTATCGGACATATCTGATATTTTTGTCGTCTTCGCCTGACGTAGAGTAGTGTTGGAGCCGTTATCGACTCGCTCGAACTGAGTTCGCGTAAGGTGTCACCGTTAAAAGATATTGCGCATTGCTAGCAGTCTGGTAATGAAAATACCATTCTGGAGCGAAAAATTCATTCTGTACCTGTCATCCTTACTTTGACCTGATGATGAAATATTGGAGCGATTACACTGTATAATATACATTGCAGTTGAAAACAGACGTACAGGAATTCACAGAAACTTGCGAATTACCTTTCCGACGAAGGCGCCATCATCGAAGCGAACGTCGTCGAGAGGATTCTCAAAAAATATGTTCTAGACACCAGAAGAGGAATACTTGGTGATAAATTGTCATAATCTATCCTATGTCCAGAAGCTAATAAAACCTATTCTAAACTGGAATATACCGCATCACACTTGACTCTACAAATACCCGATCGCGTTTGCACCAGTGCTGTACTGTGATTTCAGCTCACATCTGATTCCATGATTTCTCTTTATGTTTCACTATTTTTATCACCTTTGCAGTTAATTATTTATCTTTTCTAGGACTAGTCCACTATACTCGAGCAATGCCTACAGAAATTATGGTGAGCTTCTTGAATGCTTAAACCTAAACTAGGGTAGCCATAGGTTATAATGTCTAACGGGCATATGTGTTTTTCCAAGAATTTCACTTTAGCAAAACTTTGTGTAATCGACTAGATCTATCCAGCATGTTCCACCGATTCCCAGCTTGACTAAACCGCGACCCAACACTTTCCTATTCTGTCCGCAGACTAATGTCTTACAGAACTACTTCAAATCGCACGATGAGCTCGAATTGCGGAGCAAAATTCTGTCGTTATGTGGTGATGTCCTTGGTGGAAAATGGATGGATCTGCATCCGAACCACGCCACCATCACCAGTATGCGGTAAAACCCACAATTTCGCTGTACTAAAAACATTTCACAGCAGGAGCTTACTCCAGATATTTGAATAATTAAGCATTCTTGTCACGTATATTATCTGCCATATGTTCTATAATATTAATACAGTTCTGTTTTTTGCTCATTCAGCTCTTTTATAATCATTTGAGAAATTTATTTTAAATGCAAGTTTTTACAGTGGTGGTCTAACAAACCTCGTCTACTTGATCAAACGTCCTAAATTCTCACCCTTAGACGACAAACCGGTTACCGTACTCCTCAGGATACAGTCTCAGACCGATCATGAGAAGCTGCTCAATGAACTAGTCGTCTACACATCCTTAGCAGGTGACATTTATGAATTTAGCCTAGATTTTGCATTGGATCCTTTCTGCGTCACGCGCTCTTTAGCTGGTCGTCGAGTAACTAGGGTGGCCAAGAGCAAAATCTGCATTTATCTCTGTACTGCGTCGTACATGCCCAGTAAGTCTTCCCACGCCGAGGTACTTGAAAAGCTTTATATTTTACATCTACGGTTTTTCTGAAGATGGTACGAACACTTGCCTGGTGGTTCTCTTGCAGCAGGTTTGATACATCGCATGGAATCTGCTCGCTGCTGTCCACCTATACATTGCTCATGTTCGGCGTACCTGATTTCCAATATGTGCATTTTTTGCCTTGCTTTGCCTTTCTCTCGACTGTAAACTCAGCTTAACTGGGACCACTGCCGATTTATGCTACACAGATCATTCCCTTTGACAGGTGATTGCTGATGGCAGCATTAGGTGAAAAAAGGCAAAGAGAAAGACAAAACGAGGCCTTAGTGGTGCAGTGGATTACTCGTGAGCCAAAGGTAATGGTGAGTTCGAATCTGGGCTGAGCTCAGAGGTTTGCAAATATCTCGGCATGATTGTAGTTGGCGGTAATATAGTTGGCAATTTCCCACTTCCTTCACTCCAATATTATCCCATTCCGATACTCACATGGCTATTATGAAAGAGTTTGTCAGAGTGTCGTCTTTTTAAACCCTTCCTCTTACGTCAGTGATAGTGTGGTTGAGCAACAGTGAAATTCTGGTTGAGAATTCATTACATGTCTTGTGGTACTCGACATTTGCAAACTCTGGTGTCCAACGTTAACAGCTAGATATCTGGAATTGTAGATTCTAGATGACCGTATTTACGGTGATCTTCTTTGTGGAACTAAAATTTCGAGTAAGATGATGCTTCTTTCTTCTCGTCATTGTTTAATGTTACGTTGTAAATACAAGGATTGCCACTGCCAATTTTGATCTTCATCTTTTTGACCACAAATAACCAGTTTGAGTCGTTTAGCTTGTTCGAAAGAATACCTGTTTACGGTCTAAACCATACCGACGAGACCACCTATGAAGTTTAATCTCCTCTACCTTAATGTCTTCTGAGGAAGAGATCCTCTTTGTTAACATAAACACTAGCGTTTACCGATTAGTACAGTAGTTGATGCTAAAGCTATGGGTTGCAGAGGGCATCCTTGGTGCTCTTGCAAACTGCAAAATACTGTCTTCACCATGGCTGGTATTCATGTTTCAAATACCTTTGAATGCATTTATTTACTCGGATTTCCAGAAAATGGGCTCGGTCCGAAGCTTCTTGGAGTTTTTCCCGGAGGTAGATTCGAAGAATTCATCCCCAGTAGACCTCTCGAACACGATGAAGTGGCACACCCGAGGTTACCCCTTGTTCTGATCTGTTTGGTAAGATAGACTGAGATACTTATCTTACTTAGTGTTACTTGCAGGATATGCAGTCTTTTGGCACGAATTCTACCACGTTTTCACTCAACAGCGGTGCCTATCTCAAAACGCCCCAACATACTGAAATTGATGCGAGAATGGTTGGCACTCTTTGAGGAACAAGGAAACTCCCACGTTCAACTACAATCCACTTCATTTCACCTTCACTTAAGTGATGTAGGTTTGCTCGCTCAGCAACGTTAGTTTAAATCACTAAGATACTTTTCGAATAAAACGTTCTACCGCAGTACTAATCCTGAAAAAAAAGTAAGTCAGGGAAGTTCACTGTCATTATTTTGATTGTATACTGACTGTTTTTGCGTTTACAACAATTTGTAAGCTGTCATCAGATAAAATTCGTAAAGTTCTAAAAATGTTGGAAAAAATTTGGTTTCAGTTTCCGTCTACCATTTCTACCAATGATCTCGCCAAGGAGATCGACATCATCGAAGAATTCCTTGGAACATCTCCGTCACCGGTCGTGTTCTGCCATAATGATCTTACCGTGAGGATTTGTGTAGCTTGTTATTCTACCCTTCATTTATTGTTTATGTATTTTCTTTCTGAAGAACGATGTGCGCAGTGCTATAGCTAGAGATGCCCTCTGCGGTACATATTGGGTCGCTCGCTGCTTCGATGCCACCCACTCCACCCCTCCCCCGCCTCAATAAAAACACTAACTTGATAACTTCTATAATGCTGAGATATTTGCAAAACTCCGGACCGCAGGTATCTGCGGTGGGTACCGTTAACGGTGGAAAGCATTGTAGAAGTTATATTTCGCAACATACCCTGCCGTTAAAAAAAAATAGGTAGTAAATAAAAAGGCTAGGAATGTGATTATAATTATAGCCTCAGCTTAACTGGGTTTAATGCCGATTTAAACTCTCCAGATCAATCCCGTTGACGGGTGATTGCTGCTGGTAAAAGATCGATAGAATTAGCTGAGAGACAGGCGAAACGAAGCACCCGCGAAAGACAATAGCGCGTTCGTTCTCCACTACAGACACCTCCAGTTCGGAGTTTCGCAAATATCTCAGCATTATAGAAGTTATATTTCCCAACACACCCTGCCGTTAAAAAAGAATAAGCAGTAAATAAAAAGGTTAAGATTGTGATACTAACTTACTACTTCCTAGGATCGGCTTTCTATTAATCGCGGCATTGAATTATAAATTCGTCGTTTTCTTTCTCAGCAATCGCGAAGTTGTTAGACAGTACACGTTTCTTTTTGTACAAAAACATATAATGCAACAGTAGCTGACATTTCGGCAGTATCGCCTTCTACAGTCCTTCAAAGCCGTTTTTGCGTCCCTTCCACTGAGGAATAACAGTTGATTAGAGTCGCATATGGTCGATAAATCACTAATCTGACATATCAGTAGGCCACATCAAGTCTTTGTAGAGACCACATATGCATTCAACCGCCTTGAGACGATTTAATGAAGTCGGATACGGGGTACATCCCTCACGGATTGGTCAACGCAAAGTTTTCAACCTTTATCTTCTTGATGTTCTCAACTTCGCGCTATAGAACTAGCAAATTTTTTAAAATCAATCGGCAGGGTTTCTGAAAGGCTTCCAGTGAAGGCGAATAAACTCAAAGGACAGCAGAGTGTCTGAGCTACATCAGATTGGCCTATAGATTTTGTTTACCTGAAACCATAGTCATTCATTCGAGAGTATGAACACGTGGAAGAGGTTCTGGTGTAATACATCGGATCAAAAGCTTAGTGGGAGAGTCTACTGATACTGACATTTTCAGTCAGGAAATCTTCTGATCAGTTCAACTCCGCAAAAAACAACAGGGCCTTTGGCAACGGAAGACATCTCATTGAACACCACGGGGACGTTGCATTTGAGTCTTATCGACTTCGAATTTAGTTCCTACAACTATCGGTTGGTTCAGTTTTTGGTTACTTTTATTCACTGCCCGAAACGTTTGCCATAAAGTTATTCGTGCACATCATTCTTTCGTAAAACTTCGTTTGTTTGACTAATAGTTTGTCCATAATTTCATTCATATTATAGTTCGTTTCAGACAACAGTTGTTATTTTGTGTAAATCAATGTCGAATCAACAAAATTTGATATTTAATGCTTAATGCTCGCATTCAATATAAGTGAAACTGTTATAGAATATAAGCGCAGCTACAAAACGATGCTTAAGAAGGGCCGGTCTAAATGTAGCTCCTCGGCATAGGTGAAGAGAAAAACTCAAGCCTCCAAACGACAACTCCAGCGATAATAAAGTCCTGTTTATCTTGCCCTTCATTTCAAATGGAATAAATGCAGCTATAAAACATAGCTTTCTCCCAAAGGTTTACCGCCTTATCGTGACTATGAGATGTTCCTGGGTGTCGGACTGCGGTGTACTGTGGAGATTCATTCCCTGGCAAGGCTTCCCAAGCTGAGAAGGAGTCCAGTGAACCAATACCAGGATCCATCACTGTCTTGGTATCAAAGTGGCAATGGTGGAAAGTCTCCCTCTGGTCCACAAGGGCTGGGACTGCCCGTGGTGGTGAAGACCTGAGGCAGACTTCGGCCAGGCTGACCTCGGGGTTCTAGGGAACCGCAATATCCAGCAAATCTCCGAATAATGGTGATTATGCTGCAGCTCGCACAACCAGTGAGGACGGGCCATTCAAGTATCGAGTATCACAATGTTTAACGTTTTGTTTTCTGCCTTCTATAATTTTCATGGCAGGTTACTAAGCGAAATACAACCACAACGTTGCTGAGATATTTGCAAAACTCTGGACCGCAGGTGTCTACGGTGGGGAACGAACGCGCTATTGTCCTTTCCGGGGAGTAACGCGTTCACCACCACACCATGCGGGTCCTTTGTTTCGCACGTCTCTCAGCTATTTCTATCGATCTTTTTGCCACAGCAACCACCCGTCAGCGTGGTTGATCTGGGGAGCGCAAATCGGCATAGAACCCAGTTAAGCTGTGGCTGTAGTCGAAATCACAATGTTTAACGTTTTGTTTTCTGCCTTCTATGATTTTCATGGCAGGTCACTAAGCGAAATACAGCTACAACGTTGCTGAGATATTTGCAAAACTCTGGGCCGTTGTGGTTGTATCAAGTATCAATTATAAAACATGGCTTAAGAAGGGCCGGTCTACAGAATTCGGTAACGTAACAGTGACTGAAATGCCACCAAGCAGTCTAAGATGCCAGCTAGTTCGTAATCGCCTGTATGATCGTCTATGTGCAACGCAAAATTGCATGATTTGACGTAATGGTAGAGACGGTGATTGTATGAGTTCGGGTACAGTTTATCTGATCTCTTGTAAAGCGTGTGGAGACAAATAGATTGACGAAACGGGTAAACCACTCTGCGTACGTATAAAAGGGCACCTAATCGGCAGACGTAAACGAAATACTCCACTAGGCACGCATAGGACGCAGAGACATAACAGGGAGGACTTTGAAGTACATGTCACGATCCTCGCACACGAACCAAGAACACAAGCGCGAAAAACTCTCGAGGCGTTCCGGATTGATTCCAGAAATCCGAAAATGAACCGCAGGGAAGAATGCCTCATTATCACGCGTGATATAGGGCAGTATACAAACCTGTTATTCTGGTGGGAGGGCACATTACGTTTCCATGTGAATTCTGTGCGGTTGGTCCTCACACGGCATACTCAGTGGAAGACTCATAGAAATCGGTGATTGTGCGGAGCTGTGTTCAATGTGATTGAAATCTTGGTTTGGCGTTTTCTCTGTTTGGTTATAGAGGTGTTTGGCCGAATGGATTGCTGTCAACTTGACCCTTCCAGGCTCTGAAGGCGAAATCAGCCGAAACGCCAGCTTGTGCGTAAATGGGGAAATACTACCACAGACGCCTGCAGTTCGGAGTTTTGCAAATATCTCAACATCATTAAAGTTATATCCCCAGAATAGTTACTATTTCTTTCTTTTGCTGTATATTTCTGTAGTAAGGATCATACCTACTGCTTCTCAAGTTGCCTGTCAAATGTCATAGCACGTAAGTATTTCGATCCTATCCTAAGGAATTTCGTGTAGAGAATCCCGCTGTCAAATAGTGAATTCTCTATCTACCTAACAAACACATTCAATAAGTCAATAGAGCCGGCCTTTGCCACAACGCCACTCGACGCAGCATCTCGTAACCATCGGTCACACCACCAGGCATGCTATTGGGTACGTCTCATTGCTTGGGGAATAGACCCCGCGACTAGAGCCTTGACCTTACAACCAACGACAATCGCTTGGACGTAGCCACGCCCACTAGGTGCAGGATTTGGCAGTCTCTATCGAGTCTTACATTCCACTTCGTTTCCTTATTCCTACGGCAGTATTTTTCCATCGTTATTCCTGTTTTATTGGTGTTGCATTTATGTATATAAGGGTTTAATCTCAGTGTCGAAAGCTGTTACCCTGTGTCAACTACGAAAAGTCCCGCGTGGCGTCTTCTCACGAAGTCGAGCATTCTGCTTAAATCTAGTGGTTATTCTGTGCCGAGAACTGACTCGAAGGTCGATTTTCCGCTAACAACTGCGAGAGCTCGTTCTCTGTTTGTTAATATCATGATTAAGGAAATGTTCATCGTTAGGCTCTGATGATTGAATTGAGTGAACGGTGCGAGTAGGGGGTCGCGGTCGTAAGCTATAACGTTCTCTCGTTCTTTTGTGTAGCTCCTCTTCGTTTTTGATGTCGTGACTTGGACCGGTATTCAACTGGTCGTTAGTATTTGGGGACTCATTTGGTTGGGTGTTTACCAGTTATAAGGGTATAAGTAAATTAACAAGCCTTCTGATGATTCGTCCATTAGGTAGCTTGACGTGTGCTTCTCGTACTGCTCCACTCTCTGATGGTTGGAGTTTTATGATACGGCCGATTCTCCAGTTATTTCGAGGTAGGACCGGTTCGTAAATTAGTTCCACTGTACCAGTCGTTGGGGGGATTGTAGTGCCTTTCTTTTTCAAAACAGTACATCCGTTTTCCAGAAGCAACTGAGGTACTGTTGGTTCCAAATGGTCCAATACTGTTCCGTTAATTTGTGACTTGATGTCACAGTTGCTATCGCTTGTTGTCTGGTGCGCAACCGAGCTAGTTCGTATGGAGGAATATAATCCTCATCGTCTTCTTGGACACTTGTGGACTTGAATGGACACGCCAATATCATATCGCGCTGGATGAAATCGATTGGACGCAAGATTACTAGTTCATCAGGTTTTTCTTCGATGTACGTGAGCGCTGTTATTTAGGCATCCCTCGATCTCTAGCAAAAGAGTTGCTAATCATGACGTTGTTGGAATAGTCTTCTGCAACACTTTGTAAAGGGGATATTTCACTGATTTTATGAGGCGCTCGTAAAATGTCCCCTGCCACGGAGCATGAGGTGATATTGTTCTCCACGTGGTTGCTGCGGTTGTCAATGTCTGTGTAAACCAGATATCATTGGTTATTGGAGCAATAGCAGTTTGTAAAATCTGTTCCGCTAAAGTGAAGTTCGGTGCGTTATCGGAAGTGATCGTGTTTGGTACACCCCTTCTAGCAAAGAATCGACGAAGCGCTAATAGGATCGACTGTCATATTTTGAACTAGTTCTAGATGTAGCAGCCTTGTGGCTGTACACGCAAGAATAATTCCATAGCCTTTCACTACATACATCTTCTGCATTTTTCATTGACAATGG